TACGTTTTAGTCAAAAAAGAAAAAGCAAATGAACTAATTTATTAAAGTTTTGCTAAAGGTTTAGATTTTTTTAGGATTAAAAAAAGAGTTGTATTATCTATTAAATATGAATTATGATGTTAATTTTGTTGATTATGATAATTTTTTGACATTTGTCTTTCATGTAAAATTACAATTACTTACTTTTGTCATCTTGAATACTATTATTTAATAAAAAATTTAATCCATATAATTTAGCATACAATTTATTGGATATGGATGCTGAATTTTCTAAATATGGCTCATTCGCCACTAGTTGTGCTGCTTCACTTGTTGAGAGTTTATTTCTACTAACAGGATGAAGGTTGTTTTTCATATCATTTTTAAGCCTTTCACCGAAAATATTTCGTAATTTATCTTTACATTCTTCAAAAGCCTTGAAGATTAAAAAGATAAGTTACTACATATTTCCTGTCGTGAAAATTAAAATTAAAGTACCTCAAAATGGCTATAAATTTTTTTGATTTTATTCAAATCCTTACATTTGGAAAGAAGATAATGGTTAACCTTGTAAAAAATAATAATTAAATTTAGTTCAATAAATAAGTTACTGTATTATTTTTGAGAAAAACTATACTTTTAAAGTAATCCAGTTAATAATGAGAGTCTCCAAAGAAAAAACTTTATTTAAGTTATCTTTAGCAGGTGTAGCAATTCTTTCCCCTTTGCTGTCAATGATTAGAAAAGGAACGATAATATAGTGTTCTTCTTCTAGACTAGTAAACACCTCTTTTATGTTAAGTAAGTAAATTTTGTATAAGAAATTTAATATAAATACAAAAAAGCATTACCATTTATGTTATCTTTAGCAATAAGTTCAAGTTTAATTCTATATTCTTCAAAATATTTCTTGTAAAAAATATGAGTTGCCTTTAAAAAAAACAAAAGTTAGTTTTTGTCTAGTAAACTTAAATTTGCCTTAACAAGAATTAAAAAAAAAATACAAGGTGAGAATTAGTCCCTGGAGGGCCAAGGAAGGCCAGTTTGCAAAAGTCTGGCAAAAAAATTTTATAAGTAAAATTTTTTAAAAAAAGAAATATATAAAAAAAATATGTTACAACACTTTTACATTAAAAAGGGTTTAAATTGTATTGTATAGATAAATAATCAATTCAAACAATCTGTTTTTTTTTAAACTTATTGTTTATTATTCGAAATATCCAAATAAAGTTGAGAAATCTGAAAACTTTAGGTTGGTTCTCGGTATCAAAAAAAGGCTTTTAATTACTATTTAAAAGTTTAATAAGTTTATATTATTAACCGATCTGAGCTTTTTATAAAGAAATGACCTTGAAAAAACAAATCTTGAATTTAGTTTTGTGATATTAGGTTACTTTTTTGATGCAGATAAAATCTCACAGGTTCATCCTGTCGTATTATAATTATTATTATCGATCTTAGTCTAAAATGTCTCCTAAAAATCTACAGGCAGGTTTTTATACCAAGTTCATACAAACTGATAGTTTAGTTCAACCGTTCAGTTTGTATGAATTTATATATTACAAAATTTTTTTATTTAAAGACATATTATAAGCAATCAAATTACAAGAATTGAATAATTTCTAATTTGGTATAAAATGTCTAGTTTTTTTTTAGGCGAGATTTTTAAGTTTTATTTTTTGACAAAAAATTTTTCAAGAAAAATTCTATAATAATTTAAATTTACTTATGAAAAATCAAATTCTAAATTGGCTTGATGTTTACGGTCAATGGCTACAACTAGAAGATTTCCCTGATACAGAACATGGCGTTAAAACTCTGCAGCCCTTTAAGCCTCACAATGTAGTCCTTACAGTGCTAGGATCACATCTCTGGATGATAGATGTAGCACTTAGTGACCCGGTCATTGGGACTGTCAT